GAGGCTGAATGAGAAAAAGTGGCCAGCTTTAACACTGTGATACAACTGATTGGCTCCTGTGCTGTTTCTCCCTCTCCCAGTCTGAGCTCTGTTGCATAGGGTATTGCAAAAAGCTGAAACCAAGGCAAATTCAGTTACACATTTAAAGCTGTAATCCTGAATGCAGAGCTAAATTTATGTGTCTTTTATATCACCCTAGAGTTCAGCTTTAAGCTTTTGAGCATAACTAATTTGTATTTGCACAAGAGAACGAATGCGCATCCAACTTAATTAAAGCGATCTTGATCATACATGTTTTCTCATGTGCTTTCTGATTTGTCAGAATTTAGTACATCCATCCATTTAGGACAAGCCTACTTTATCAGTTCCAGTAGCTCTCTCGTCATTAATATTATGTAGTTGGAAAGTACGAGGCAGTTTCATTCCTTGTTAGAAAGATAAATAACCTTTAACGGGAGCAGTGTGGTAATATCTCCGCCATAGCCCAGATGTCTGCATGATGAGGTTATTCCACTTATGCACCCATTCAACTGCATCATCTACTTCAATTACACAAATATGTCTCAGATTTCCCTCGCCAGTGGACCTAATTGATGTAAATTCAAGGGGCCTGTTTGAGTAAACTGAGGAAATTTTTCCGTATTATTTGTTAAGTAAAAATTGGCATTTTGGTTAATGACTCACAACTTTTTTATGCAATGAAATGTCTGTTAGCTTGCACTGTATTCATTTTGACTTTTTTTTTTTGTACTGAAGTAATTTTTTTCTGTTCCAAACGATGAGTATATGTACGTTATGGGTAAATGTATACGTCCTAGTGCAGTGTGGAAGTGTTTTCTTTATTTAAAGTAAGCCTGTCATGAAAGAAATTTGAAGGCTGCCATTGCTGACTTCCTTACTGAAAATATTGCTAGGTAGCAGGGCCGTAAGTACAGATCACGGGCCTCATAGCAAAAATGTGGTGGGGGCCCCCTGATGACCTCTCTGAGCTGTGAATAATGATGCCAATCTCCCAAAGACTCTTGGGCATCTGAAGTCATCTCTACACATAGACATTACTGGGGATTAGAGTTGTCAACTGCAACCAATTCAACCCTTATTTCTGACGGCGGCCGCTGTAAAAAAAAAACAAAAAAAAAACAAAGGGCACCTCCCTGAAATGAGACGGGCACCTCCCTGAAATAAGGTTTTGCAGGTTGGGATGTCTGTAATGGGGCCCCCTTCCACCCCCACGCCCCAATAGCCACCTGAGCTGCTATGGTTATAGTTATGCCACTGGTAGATAGTGCTATAGCAGTGCCTGTATCTGCAGTCTATTTGTCTGATGAGGTATTTTTTTATGTGGGGGGAGGGAAGTATTAGGTGCTTTATGAGGCTCATTATGGGGTCCATTCAAAGCGAATTGGCTACCTTAAAGGAGAACTATGGGGTTAGGGCTTTTCCCCATAGTTCTCCTTAGGGTAATGGGCGGACACAAACTAGCGTCCTCCCGTCACCCTAACCTTAGTATACCGCGAGCTACAGCTCACGGTATACCGAGATGCCGCAGCTGAAGCGGATCCCGACAGTTATGTCTGGATCCGCCCAGCTGCGTGAGTGACAGCTGGCTCTGCCTATCTAGAGGCAGAGCCAGCTGTACCCACCCCCTCCCCAGTCCGTTCCGCCAGTCAGCGCTGGAGGATCGGAGGGGGGAATCCAGCCCCTCCCCTGTCACGGCAAAGTGCCGTGACAGGATCGAGAAGTGAGCGAACGCCGGTATGCGTTCGCTCACTTCCCTATCTACTGAGCCGACCGGTGACAGTCGCATTGTCACAGGTCGGCTAGAACTATGAGGTGAGTGAAACGCACTCACCTCATAGTTCTCCTTTAACACAATGTGCATTATCGGAAGTAACACATGCATTCACACGTGTTAATGTGCACAGAAAGGTGCGAATAGGGCCTGAAGGCAGGTGTGGACAAATTAATATGGAATTCAGGAGCCAGCCTGTCCAATCCAGTAGCCAGCAGGATTTTTATTAGGAGCCAGTTCCATTTGAAAACAGCTGGAGAAAACTGCTGTAGAGAGGCAGAGCCAGCTGTCAATCAGAGCGTGGGATGGATCCCAGCAATATTGCCGGGATCCTTCCCAGCTGCAGCACGGCTCTCCGCATATAGTGGGCAGTATCCTGCTAGATGTCCTGGAAGTAAGATCCCACAATGTGAACAAAGTGACCTAATAGAGGTTCTCATCCTTCCCAATCTTAAAAATTACAAAAGGTGTCATTGTTTATTTTTGTTGAAGATTTTGCTCACTTTTTGTCTTGGTGACCAATGAAGGAAATGAGAGAAAATCTCCCCAATGGAGAAGGGTTCGATACCCTTCCCCTTTCAGTCCAAGGCTAAAAAAGAAAATACTGCTGGATTTGGACTTCTTCAAAGCGGTAAAATGGAAAACTATGTTTCATTTTGTTTGTACTTTATTAGGTTCAGAAAAATAAACTTGCTGGTTTAATTCTCAGCGAGGGCTTTATCGGCATGGAATTTTATTTCCTGGTGTTCTCAATGGCTACTGCTTTTCCTCCTCACACAACTGAATAAAATACATGTAGGTTATTCAGGTCCAAGCAATATTTGGCAGAAGACAATGAGCATATTATTATAGTATGATCATTTCACTGGTGACTCCCTACTACTCAGAGAGAGTAATGTGAATGATTTTGTGCTATCTCTAAAGTGTTACATCTATTTGGGGTCATCTTGGTCAGTGTAAAGCTGAACATTGGGATAAGCAAATATTGCCCAAATATTGGAGGCGTGTGTTTTCTTACTTGAATCTCAGTATTGCAGATCTGTGCAGGAATGAAACTATGCCTCTATGCAGGAGCTGTCTTTGTGTGATCTTCAAAGTCGGTATACAGAATTTATATTTGGTGACAAGATATCTTGGTAGATAAATAAAAATTGGAGCGTATAGCAGGAAGGTCTGACATAAAAATGCTACTCTACCATCGGAATAAACATTATTGGATATTTACAAAATATGTTGTTTGGGAATATTGGTCATGATGATCCTTCCATTTGCTCACCTTTTTCAATGACTTACCTTCTTGAATTTATGTCAGGGTAACAGAGCCAACTCTTCTTTTGCTTTCATTATATTTTACTGTATCCAGATAACTACAGTAGATGTTTATGCTCAAACAATTATATAGCTCAAAACGTTTTGTCTCCTGATTTTCACCAGATGTTTGTAGCATAGAAAGTAATATGTCAAGTCAGTAGTGATCATTCTGAACAGTATAAAGAACAAGCCTAATGTACACTACAGGTAAAACTCGAATAATTAGAATAGCGTGCAAAAGTAATTGCAGTAATTGCTGCAAAAGGGGCCCAAACCAAGTACTGAGTACATATGCATGCTTGTACTTTTCAGAGGTCCGATATTGTTCTATGTACAATCCTTGTTTTATTGATTGCATGTAATATTCTCATTTTTTGAGATTGTGGATTTGGGGTTTTCATGAGCTGTAAGCCATAATCATCACTACACTGTTGGGACTGTGTTTTTAGGAATATGTGTACAATTAGCCAAAAAGTTAATGTAAGGTCAGGTACTGATTTTGGATGAGAAGACCTGGCTCACAATCTGCATTGCAATTTATTCTAAAGGTGTTTAGTAGATTCAAGGTCAGGGCTGTGTGCGGGCCACTCGCGTTCCTCCTCACCAAACTCCGCAACCTATGTCTTTATGGCACTGTCTATTAGTTGTGCTGGAACAGAATTGGGTCTTTCTTAAACTGTCACCACCAGGTTGGAAGCACACAATTGTCTAACATGCTTTTGTATGCTGTAGCATTGAACTTTCAATAATGAACCTAGATCAAACAAACGTACACTGCCCAGCAAAGTATTTCTTTACATATTTGCCCAAGCACAGTCATCATGTTTGCAAAGAGCTGGCTCCATCTCTCTCAGCTCTGCTCCCCTTAACTTCCTGTCCAGTGCAAGATCACAAAGGACAATGCAGTCTTCAGCAACTGTCCATGTACTAGCTTGGAGAAGTAAAGAGGGAGGAAGGTAGAGGGGGAGCAGGGGAGTGGCTTGCCTTGCTGTGTGGAGGTACATACAGCTTACTAGTGCACACAAGGGTGGCTCCATAGAACCCTGCAGTGGAAAAGATCCACCCTAAAACCGGATATCGGAGCCAGTGGTCAGGGGACCAGCTGATTCTGCTGGAAACTAACATTTTTAAACATCAGAGCAGCATCCTTTGTAAGTGATTTAATCAGAATTTGAAATGGTTTAAAACCTTTGACTTTAATATCACTTTACCAGTACCCTTTAACCCTTTACACCTGAACTTCACACACCTAAACTCAATCATTTGGATGTTCACAAGCTTTTGGCCATAGACTGTAGAGCATCTCGAAATATAAAACAAATTGATTAATATGGTGTGTGTGTGTATATGTGTGTATGTGTGTGTGTGTGTATATATATATATACAATCTATATCTTGCACATACACTTTCAGGTCCCTTAATCATCGTTATTGTGCTTATTATACCGAGCTAAGAAGTGAAGCCAGATTCCTACCTTAAGAGTATTTTTAACCATGAATGCATGTATGCCAGACAAAAAATTGCACAATTAAAAGCATACTTTATGTGGGAAAAAAATCACTGAGAATGGTTTTTTTTCTATCTTTGGGGTTTACCACAATGACTTCATGCACGGTGTTTGTGGAAAAATAATACATTAAGGTATTTAATACATGTGCACACTAAATATATACTCCATACAGATATTGTAAATGAAAAAGCATACAATGTGTACGCACACCCAAATAAAATAATACGTAAGAACAGACATTGGCTTTGTGTTTCCGGTCATGCACATAGATCTCTTTTTAAAAGAATGTTTTTACAATCGATGTAGGGTTACAAAACTTGTGTGGTTTGTTAGAGGATTTGGGTGGGATTGGGTTTGGGGATAGATCAGGTATGGATATTACTTACTGTAAATTGTGACTGCCGTGATAGTGGAGTAGCATTTGGGGTTATAGTAATGCTGTTGGTGATTTTATTTGTGGGTTTACTTGGCATTCCATTAGTTAGTGAATGTGTTTTCTCTTGCACTGGTGAGAAAGGACTGCTAGGTCTTCTTAAATGGATATGGATCTTATTGTCCTCAGTAGTTATGACACTTGAATTTGAACTAGAACTGTTTGACCTTTGAAACTGCCATCCAGCTTGTTTATCAGGTGATACTCGAAAAACAGCATGAGTTCCCCCAACATCCATTGGCTCTGGTGAAAGTACACGCTCTGGAGAGCTTGAAGAACTGGTTAAAGCCAGTACCTGGATTGGGGACATTGTTCTGTCTGGAGTTATGGAACCACATGAGTCGGGTGACCTAGGTCTTACAAAAGAAGTAATTGTAAAGGGTGATGCAACTTGATCTGGTGTGACATATCCATCTATTACTTTTGACTTCACTGGAGTCAAGGAGCCATTTTGTATGATTGTTATCCTTTGTTTTGGAGTGCCACATGTTGGTATCACAGCAGTGCTTGTAAAGGAGTGTGGGTTTTCTGTAGTAGGACTGGTTATTTCAAGAGTGGCTGTATTTTGTCCATGATCTGGTGTAACTTTGATATGTAAGGGTTGGCCTGGTGTATGTGTAAGGACCATATCTCCTGGATGGATGTAATTTCCATTCTGTTTTAATTGTACTTTCCCATTTTGTGCTTGTTGGTTGGATTTTGTCCATGGTGATGCTAATTTTCTGTTGTTATTTAAGCTGTTGTTATTTGATGTGTTATATTTGAAAGAAACAGGTGAGTCTTCATCTTGTGTGTCATCATCCTCATTGTCACTTTCTTGATATAATTGTCCATTTATGACTGCTCTCTCCAAAGGAACAAGGCTTTTGTAATCAGGTGGTTCATTATATGTTGGCTCTGTCTGCACTTCCTTTGAGAACACTTGAAAGTCTGAAATTCTCCTTCCATTGAGGCTAGGCCGCAGGCTCTTGCTAAAACGACGATACCTTTCAAGTTCCTTGGATAGGTTTTCAATTTCTTTTATTAGCTCTTTGTTCCTGTTTTCCTGCTGCGTAAGTTTTCTCTGAAGAACTGAATGATCTCCCTTCAAACGACAAATTGTGTCCTCTGTTTTCATGTAGTCATGGATTTTCTCCTTCAAGGCTGTAACTTCTCTTGAAAGGTGGCCAGACTTTGCTTCTTCTTCCTTTAGCTTATTCAACAGCATTTTTTCTTGGAACGATCCTGATTTCTCAGCAAGCTTATAGTTTGCTAGTTCCATTTTTACTACTTCAAGTTCTTCAGAAAACATTTTGACTTTTTGCTGCTCGTTATAATACCTTTTCTCAAGAGATTCATACTCGTCTTCTGTTTTCATGAGGTCATCTTCCATGGCTTTCATCTGCTTAAGGGTGTGTTTTAACCTTTCAACCTCTTGAGTAAGTTCTCTGATTTTATTGTTTTCCTGGTACAATGTTTCTGACTGCTTATTTTCCGGCTTCATTTTGTTTTTCAGAAACTCCTTTTCAATTAATTCGAGTGACTGCAGTTTCTTCTTAAGGATGGTCACTTTGGACATAAGATCGTTTGTTTTTTCTTCCTCTGCTCTCAGTTTACTTTTTAGCTCTTCATTTTCTTTTGTGACAGTTTGCAGCTTTTCCTGTAACTCTGTTTTGGATTTGAGAGATTTTTTACTTTCGTCTATCAGTTTTTCTGTAATTGATGTCACTTTGCTTTGCTCCTGCTGCAGGTGTGCATTGGCTGACTTTAGCTTTTCTTCAGTTTGTCGGATCTTTTCAGTGAGGGTTTTCCTCTCCTCCACAAGCATTACTGTTAAGGTTTTCAGTTTAGTGAGATCTTCTTTGAGTACATTTTCAGTTTTCTCAAGCTTTACTTCAATAGTTTCCATATCCCGTATTCGAACTTTTAAACTTTCTAGTTCATTACACAATTGCTTGCTGGTGGCCCGTTCTTTTTCCAGGGCACTTTTAATGGATTGGCATTCTTGTTTACTTTTGCTGAAAGCATCTTCCAATTTCTCCAGGTCATTAATCCTTTTGCTTAATTTGTCGACTTCAAACTTTAGGTTTTTGCTTTGCGAGGCTTCTTTTTCTAATTTCTTATTGAGATCTTTGCATTGTTCCTCCATTTTTATAAGCTCTTCATCTTTGCCTTCCATCTCGAGCAGACGTTTTCTCAGCTCCTCCACTTCCGTCATGAGGCTGGAGTTTCCACATTCTCCCTTATTCATCTTCTCCTTTAGGTCATGAAGTTCATCCTCTGCTTTACGCAGAGTCTTGTTTGTTTCCTCAAGCTCATCTATTTGTCTGCTAAGAGCTGCCAGCTTTAATCTGAGTTGGCGGTTCTGAGTCTCTTCGCTGGTTAGTTTGGCCATCATGGATTCATGCTCCTGGAAGAACTTACTTTCCTGAGTTTGTAGTTCTATTTCAAGTCTGTTTGCTTTTTGCTCCTCTTCTTCTGCCTTTACTTCTACAATGGCGAGCTTATCCTGTGCTTTTTGGGCAGTTAATGTTAGCTCCTGGATCTTGGAACTTTGTGCTTGTAACTGTTCTGTTAACCTCTGTTGCTCATCGACCACAAGTAATGCGAATGATTTCAGCTTTATGAGCTCATCTTGAAGTTTGGTTATTTTCTTGTGGTTCTCTTTTTCTTTTTTAGCTTGGTAAGTTGTTTCTTGTTCAATCAGCGTTTTTAACCTAGAAAAAGAAAAAGAAAATTATGAGTTTATTTTTGAAAACATTTTAATAAATATTTATAGAAAATAATAAAACAAATCTTTTACTGTATAGATTATTGTACCAAAAAATGAAGTAGGTTTTGAAACATCGGATGTCTTTCCTTTACCCAATGATAGACATTTATTCCTGTGATACAATTTGCTGCATACAAGCATTTTTATTCTCTATTTTGAATTCTTTGGGTAACCATGGTAGTGGACATTGCTTAGTAATCACTCCGCTTCAGAGCAGCTGGATAGTGATCAGTCTCAACCTCAAACAACTACTGGTAACATATATAAAGCCAAGGGTGCAATAACTGGGCAAGTTCCCTTCTCATAGTGTAATTTAGGCAACATTCCCCGCCCCCAATACCTCTCCAATGGCCATATAGTTTAAAGTCTTTTGTTACCATTTGTTTACTTTTTTTATTTTATTGCAATATATTTTCATGCACGGCATTTAAAACAATGCACAAATCACAATAAACATATTGCCAAGTATGCTGAGCAAAATTGGTAAATTTCTGCTTTAACACTTATAAGTTACTTTATACTCTGGTTGCCATTCTTTTAAAGTGTAAGCCAAATCAAAACTGATTTGGTAGACTCTGACAAGATTGGTTTGCCTACGGGTTTGTAAAACTCTCTGGCAAAGATATTCTCCTTTACCAAAGATCCTGTTTGAATACTCTGCCCAGTGTTGTGATATACTTTGCTCACTAAGCTTCTATGTCCCCTATGTCAGATACTGAATTCTCGACAAGCCTGCATGGACAGGTGACACCTCACTAGGGTTTAAATCATTTTGGTTAAAACATGTTTACAGCTCGCAGGCAATGAGATCCCAGCCATTTTTCCTGTTCAGATTAGAAATCAAAACAAAATTGTTATGGACACTTAATGCCAGTGTTTGATCATTCATTTCAAAAGTACCATAATTGCAGAAAGTATATATTTGTAGACATAGGTTTGGACTGGGGAGTATTTATAAGGGTGGGCCTTTTTTATAGTTATGGCATTGTTTTTGTAACCATAGCTTGAAAGTTTATTTTAATAGAGCTAAGGTATTCAAACAAATTACAGTATAGTATAAAATAGGAAAAGTCTGTTTCTATTCTAATGTAAAAAATTCTTCCAGTTGTCAAAACCTCTGTAGTCATCTGTAATGCCACTATTTTATAGAAAACAAGTCTGTGCACAAAATGGCTTCCTTTATGTCAAGGAGTTTAGCTCCAAGTTCCTATATGCCATATATGATGTTTATTCTAAATGAAATGTGACCTTAAATTATGAATAGAAACCATTATATGATCTCAAGGACCATTACACTAGACAAATACATGGTGCACTTGGAAAGGTAAAGACGCTGTGTAAAATGAAGCTCTGCTCATTAATCAGGTTATTACAGTTCTTATACTGATTACATAGGAAACACAGCTTACATGAGCGGATGTCTTTGGCCGGTAACGCCTTCGTGTCAGCCACCCTGGTTTCCTATTTTTAACCCCCTAGGTTTAAAAAGTATTTCTTCATTGAACTACTTTTCTTTATATGATTTTTTATTAAGCTTGCCTCAGTCTGGCTGAAATGTCCATGATCACGTTTTAGAACAGCAGAAACTGCCCCCAGATGTTCGAAATGAGAAGCATTGTGTGATTTTTTTTTTTCCATCTCTCCATGACCAGGCTTTCATTTTAATACAAGAGATGTAAAGCAAGAGTCACCTGACCACAACTGTTATTACTGCCACCCATTACCAGTGCTTTAAAAATCCCAGAAGAAATATATGCCTTTTAATAAACTGAGACCACACTGTAGGAAGGATGCATAAAAGTTTGTGAAAAAGCTCAAGTATGTACATTGAGTTCATGCTGACCTAGTCACATTTGAATGATCAACTATTTTTACTGGCACAACTCCTATTATCCATGTTACAGTATTCGATGAAAAATTAGATGTTCTTTTGCAGGTCAATATCTTGCCCGCCGTTAAAGTGGAGCTTAATGACATGGAGAAAAAGATGTGGGCCTGAGATGATTTTTGCATAATTTGGACATAATTGCACATTTACGTAACAGAGCTCTTCCAGCATTGCAATGTCCATGTTGCTCTCCATGGTTGCTGCTTTCATCTTCACTTGGTCTTCTTCCGGGTTCAGAGTCCTCGGCCATCTTTATTGGCCAGGCTAGGATGATGTAACTCGTGCGTATGTGTTCGGGAATTACTTTGTCCTGGAACAGGCAAGGCTGTACACTGAGCCACGCATGTGTGGCTTAGTCTCCACTTACAGAAAAGAATGCTCAAAGGCATGTCAAAGCATCTATATTAGAAGAGACATGCACAGTCTCTTCCTAAAAAAAACTGCCTACCAGCATTTATTACCAAGCCAACTTTTACTTCTGCTTTTAAGAGGTAGCATTAGACAGTGCACAAATCAAGAGCCCACACAGGAAGACATTACACGTGAGCTCAGTGACTTCTCTCAGCAGCTCTGCATCCCTCCCTTTGAGTTCTCTTGCTGAATTTTGCTGCCAGGACTGTCCTTTATCAAAGTACCCAAATATTTTGGCTATGTTTTATAAATTTGCCATATACAGTATACAAGTACTAATGCAGCATCAGGAGAGTTGTAGTTTTTACAGCTAAAGCCCATAGGGATGGAAAAACTTCTAAAGCCGAGGTTTACTGGCTATATTTTGCATTCCCTGGTTCCTCTTCTTCCCCCTCATCAACATGCTAATAAGATTTAAAAAAACTCCTTTCATTTTTCATTACATGCCATTTTTAGCTCCAGTAAAGTCATCACTGGGTCTCCTGTGGTTCTGTGAAATGCTTGGCAGATCATGGCTGGTGGGAGGGGTCATCAGGGTGCTGTACATATCTTCCTGAAAACATCACAGCACCGTATGTCAATACCCTATACTCAAAAGCCCTCAGCCCTAATGCAAGCAGTAGGCTGGCTCTTGTGAGGAGTTGTGAAAATATAAAAATGCCTAGATGGGTGGATAATAATCTGGACGAGCGGACCTTCCTAGGCAGACTGCATTTGAATGCAAACTGCCCTAGATAAAACCTACATATAATGCTGAGCCTTCATGATAACAGAAGAACACGAACTGAAAACCAGTAAATGAAAGGGGTGGGCTAGGGACGAGAAGACCAGAGGAAAGGACTAGATCATGCTGAATGTCCTCCTGGCAGGAAATTAGGTAGGCTCTATCGGACTTGATGCAGGTTGATGCACATTACGAGAAGCTCAAAGTGTGCAGTGAAATCAAAGGAAGCATATTCAGTACAGGAGGAGAACATGTACAACTGTGCAAGACCTGAAAGGAAGGTTGGAGTTCAGCTTTAGTGCTTTATATGGATAACTAGCGGTAACTATTCATAAACATTGGAAATCTTGCATGATAGGTTCCCAGCTCAGCATGATCTCATAAACACAAATAACAAAATGCCTGTCCTATATCCAGACATTCTGGATTTACAGGAATTATTCTCATGACTCCAAGGTTGGCACAGACTAACACATGGAGTCATGCCAGATGTATACCATCTGAATTGCCGATTCAATAAGTGTTTCCTGAAAATAACAGCTTGCCTTATGAAAAGGATTGATCTGGCAGTAAAAGTAAGAAATACATATTTTATCACATTAATAGTGCTAAAATCCTACTGTATCTTGTCTGCGATGTTCTATATATCCTAACCCCTAACAACCCTCCACCCCAGAAATCCAGAGATTTCAGAGGGTGACGGATATGCACAAGCTATCTAACTGTCATCAAGACACTCCTATCATTTCTTTCATCCTATCACATGTTTTGGCTCAGGTGAACTATACTGTTAAATCAACTTAGAAAGAGGTAGGAAAATATCAGTGGTTACAGTTGCTGCCAGCACAAGTTGTCATAGGGTGTGACAGCAGAAATTAGAATTGGTTTTCTGTACGTCTCATAAATCATTTAATCTGTAAATCATCAGACTAACAACCATTAGATCCAAACCTGATCCAGACCATATGTATCCATTGATATGCTTCTTTGTGGAGATGCGTTGCAGATCTTCACTGTTACCTTCTACATTTATAAGTGCTAGTTGGCTGCTTGTCATATTGACTGTCTAGCTTCAATATTATGAACTGGGAACCTAAAAAAAGTATGCCAATGACTTCTGACTTTTCTGATCACCATACTGGGTCAGTATCCAAGGCAAGTAAAGTAATGGCAGCCCTCCTATTTCTCTTATAGATTTACTGCAATACACATAAGTAACACAAAATAAACCTTATATTTACTGTTTTATCAGTGGCAGTGGTTGGCTAGGAGTTCATCTCTTTCTTAAAAATCTTGTGCTTTGTTGAACCCTTAATGGAAAGACGTCATTAGATAGATTTGATGGCCTCGTTTGCTGGTCTATCCTTAGTTATCTGGCTTTTACACCTTCCTGCTTCAGTACCGGACCAGAAGATGTATGCAGATAAAAGCTTTCCTGATTTGTACTTTGTCTAGGGCAGAGACCTGGCAATTTCAAGAGGTTACAACAACAACTACCAAATATCACTTATGACAGGTTCTCTTCAATGCTGACCTCTGCAGCATTTTATGCTCACCTTCCCTGGACTCCCCCACTGTCTGAGTGAAGAGTGGGGGGGCTTGTGACTCCCACCCTTTCTTGCCACAGGACTACTGCGGTTGGTACAAGGCCATTGGTTTCTTCTCCTAACTTCTGGAACAAATGGAGTGAGGGGAGCAAAGGGAAGTATGAGCTACTGCGGGGGTTGGCTTTAACCCCTTCATGACTGAGCTTGTTTTTGTTTTCTGTTCGTAAATGACTGACACACTTTTGACATTTTTGCTGTGTGATTCTTCCACGTCAGTAATATACTTTCTTACAAAGTGCACCCACACATATTATATATTGTTTTTTAGAGGACAGATAGGGCTATATATTTATATCGCATATGTGTGTCTAACG